CGTTGGTGAGGGGAATATAGAGTGGGAGGGGCTTCAGACGATTGTATCCGTCAGTCGTCGCCCTCCACCAATCACACGCCGGAGTGCGGGACGCGTCTGATTACCTTTCGTTGAGGCGCACGGCGCAGCCAGCAGTTCATAACTGGAGAAGCCGACTTCGGAAGACATGAGGTAGGAGGTGAACTGGTCCGGCTTCAGGGAGATAAAATCACAAGCCGGTCCCCATTATAGCCCCTCCTCTACCCAGCACGCCTAGTAATGTGGAAGGGCGGTACTAAGGGTGGTGGGGGCCCGTGGGGCTCTACCATCCACTCGGGGACACAGCAATTCAGAAACAGTCAGGACGTCCAAAAGCAGCCCAACTGAGGGGTGGACAACAGTCACCGGTCGGCCCACAAGTGGCAATGAACCATCTGCTACTCAGAGCTACCCGAAGGACCAAAAGAAGCAGATGAGAAGTCCCCTCCCCCCAGTCACGGGAGGCTGCCATTGACCTCTGAGGGTCAACCCGATGACCGGCACTGCCACGGGGGGAATGGCTCTACCTGAAGGAACACTGAGTCTGAGACAGTGAGAGGCCAGAAACTGAGGCATGCTGGGTAGACTTATGAAGCCAATGTGGTGACCTCCAACTGCCCGCCTGAGGGCCACGTGTAACCCTCTACACCCGTCTCTACATACTTCCATGCAGCTCAGGATATGCGGCCCCCTCTACAGGGACCGGATTCTCCTGTGTGCCACTGTCCCCACCTCCTGAAGGTGGCAGTATGACCCGACTGTTTCTGAATTCCTGTGTCCCCGAGTGGATGGTAGAGCTCAATGTCAGGCAACATCTGCCAAAGCGGAGAGTATCTCGGGATGTATATAACTGGAGATAGACGACCCAATCACAGTGTGGCCCCCAGAACCACATTATATTGACGGGGGAATCTCACAAGGAAATGTATTTATAGCCCGAGAACCATATGTAGACAATGAGACCCATCAGTGGGGGGGAGCATTGGGCTCACCAGTATAGGAAGGGGTCATCTACATGAGGAATGATGGAACTCAATGAGGGCCCATTGACACCTCCATGGCCAGGTAAAGGGTTGGGTCAAGGCAGCCCATTCATTATACCAGACCGGCCGCCATGGGGCTATTGTGGGGGGGAATG